AGATGTGGAAGATTATTCAGTATGTTGTGGGGGTAAATAGGGACTTAGAATAAGAACAGAGAAATACAGAATCTTAAGGGAAACACCCTCGAGCAACTGAGATGCAAAAAACACAGTTGTAAACCTTGGCCCATGCTCTTGTAAAATGAGGGAAATACACAAGTGCAGGAAAACTAGTGTCGAATTGTACAGCTCCACCCTGGATCCACCTTTAGCCTGGCCCCTGATACAGCCCTGCTATAAATATTGGACCCCTAGCCCAAGTCAAGTCTGCTTCTCATGCTCAAAACAGCTTGCATTCTCCCTTGAATGTCAATCTACCTTCYGTTCATGCCTTTTTCTGGCTTGTGCTGAAATTCTTTTCTGTCACATATGCCAAGAAACCCACTGGTCCTGACTTGAGTTCTCCCCTCTCATCTGGGAACTCCTCAGACCCTTCTCTGGAGACATCTCTTGTCCTGTGACAGGGGTATTTTGAGGACAGCATTCCTTTTCTCTCTGATAGCTGCCTGGTTTTGCCTGACCAGGGCTTGCTGGATAGATGTGGATCTGACCAGGGAACCAAGGAGGTGCTTTACACTCTTCTCTCCTCTTTATGCTGTGAAAAAAATCTATCCTCCTCCATCATCCAGTCTTAGTGAACATAACAGATGGGTTTAATCCATAAAAATGAAAAACTTTTCCCATTTCAAATCCATTTCCTCCTCCCTAGGTAAAACAAAACTTTCCCTGAGGAAATGATGTAAATGTGCTCAAATATTCTTAAAAGATCCTACATAGCACAAAATATTGCTGCAACCTAAACCATATTTCTTTTCATTGGCATTTAAAAAGAATTATGAATGAGGTAGTGGAAAAAATATAGATAGGAGTTAGAAAATGCTTTCCAATCCCTGCTTCATTGTGATCTCCCTCCCTAAGCTTTAATTTCCTTGTCTATAAAAATGGGATTGATAAAAATATATGCCCTACCTATCTTACAGAATTTGTCAGGGATCAACTTAACTAATATGTATGAAAACCCCTGAAATACTACAAAGGGTGATACAAATGAATATCGTTGATACTCCAAGGTCCCCTACACCATTTTTCCTTAACAGCTTCAGTCATTGCACTTCTTCCTTGTGTCTGGCAGGCTGCACAAGATTCATTGCCTTCAGCACAGACACAAGCAATCCTCTGTTATTACACATGAAAGAAGAATGGAGGGTACTGAACTTGGAGTAGACAACAATGGTCTTGCTCCAACAAACCTTCTGGGGAGATCTACAAGATACTGAACCCCTAGCTCACCCCAAAGTCTTTTTAAGATATATAAAGAGGCATGAATCAAGGTTCCTGTGAAAACATAATTTCATCACCAGTATAGGCTTAAACTTTAACAGCTTTGGTATCCATCTGTAAAAATGTCATTTCTGTTGGTTCTATCCTAGTAGCTCAAACAATAGAAAAATCACATATTACCTCCCTCAGTAAAATATAAAAGTCTATAGCCTCTATATAATGTATGGGCACTCAAGCTATACTAATTTATTCTACAATTACTTTTATTTTTTAGCATTTTTATTTGGCTCTTACACTACATAATTAATGGTGTTTACACAGAAAGGTTGTTTAACTAATGTAAATGGCATAAGTGGATTAGTGAGCAAGCCTTACAACAAATAAACATTTTTCTCCTTTGAAATTTTTTTTCACTCTCCTCTAAATGTCTGGCACTAGAGCGGAGTTTTAAAAATGTCAAGGGGATACAGAAATCAGTTTTCTGAGGTCCATTCTCCCCTGGTGGGAGAGGCTTATAATTCTGTTTCCTACAGTGGTTGGCCTGGGGGGAGTCAACAGTGACCCCAATGATATCCCAGATTCAGAAGGATGTCTTTTCCTTGGGAGGTTGCCACTGTTTTTCTCCATGGTCTTAAACATAACACAATATCTAGTTCTTACAGATTGTTTGCTGTAGAGTTTTAAGTACTAGGGATGACAGATTCATGAGATAAACAAATATGCTCACTCTACATACCTGAAAAACACAAGGAGAAAAATCCTACTAGGTTTCTGAATACCTTCATCACAATTACATCACCCAATTGTGGCAACTACTGGGATTGCTCCTCCTAGTCAAAGTTCAGATTACATGTTGTTTGAGTGGTAGCCTGGAGCCAAGTTACTGTAAAATAGAGACGGCATGATAGTCACTATCTGCCAAAATGCTATTTTTCTAAGCTATTCTGAAGGGAAAGGCTTGACATCAAAGGCCACATCTTTACTCCTGCTTTCCAGAGGCAAAGCCAAGGGAGCAGAAATAAAGCTGCCTCTCTCCAAACCCGCTTGTCTAAGACTTAAGGAGGACTTAAAGAGAAAGGTTCGTTCCAAGTCATCTCTGGAAGAACAGATAATGTAGTCCTGTAAAGTATTCATGAGTGATCTCAGGAGTTACAGACCAGACTGTCCATTCTGGCCATTCTCTAGAGTAGGCTTTTTGGACTCAGAGCCAGCCACTGAGCTGACAGGGCCGGAGATGTAAGAGAACAACTCAACCCAGGTGAGTTCTGAACTAATAGTCCAGAATTCAGAGACTCCTGCTCCAGTCCTATCCAGATTCGCAGGTCATGAATTAGAATTGGGTCCAGACTTAAGAGGACAAAATGCAGGTCAAATGCCTATGACAAGCATGTCTGAATGAACAAAATTGTACAAGACTCAGTGCCATTTTAAGATCTTCACTCTTATTTTCACATCACCTGAACATTAAAAGCTGTACATAGCCCACATATAATTTTTCTATAAAAGATTTTTTTATAGATTTTAGACAAATACTTTTACATTATTTGTCTAAAGTAACTAGTATGCTGTAATGCTGGTATCACATACATTTAGGAATTCTCACTTGGTGAGAGCATCTCATTTAAAAAACTGTTTTCAAATGTGATGAAGTTGTTATGAATGCAAAATCTAGCAATTAAGCTGACACAATGTTCTTTTTTGTGACCACTGAATAAATGTTTATTAATTTTGCTTTGGCTGCTCTTTTTTTTTTTTCTTGGAGACAATCATTTTTCCTGGTCAGACACCAGACATTTTCCCAAGCAAAGCTCTATGCCCAGCACTRGAAATTCTGGACCTAGAGGTTAAACTGATCATCTGGAAAACTGGCCCTCAGTCAGGAACTCCCAGATTGACTGGGCATCAACCATAGTGCCTGGGGGATTCCCAGCCACCCTAAACTGAAAGGATAAARAGGTGGTTCCATCACTTAAAACCCAAGAAATTAATTCTTAAAAATTAAACACAAATTCTGGAAATGAGTGAACTTTTGACTCCTTAGAGGAATTTGCCCATAACCAATGCTAAGAAGCCTTCACTGTTAGCCTTTGGCGAAGCCATCCTTCTTCAATTTGTGAAATCAGGTTTCATAAATCTAATTTATTTTACGAAGCTTCATTTTTCAACAAGAAATAAGATTTGGAAGCTGATCTGGAGTTATATTTCTAGGAAGCTTTTCTATCACTCCACGAAATGCAAGCTGTGCATGTTCTACCAACATGTTTATAACTGGACCCAAGATTACTTCTTTAAAGACATCCTATCAGCAACTATTATTTTTTCCCCAGAAAGATCAACTCCTAGGTTGATACTCTGATACACTTATCAGAATGTATCAACTTAAAAACAACCACAGGTAGTCTATTTACAGTCACAAAATCCCCTCTATTACCTACAATGAAATGCAGAAGCAATAAAATATGAACTTGAAAATTCTACTTCCTAAATGTGTCCAGTAGCCATGGCATATAATCAGTGTGGTTTGCTTAAGGGATTCATTCCTGACCTTGGTTTGCTTCAAATCTTTTTAAAAGTCACTGAATACACATTGAGTGTACACTGGCAAGTTCATGAAGATTGGCAGCAGACAGCATGACATGGAATTTCAACTGCCGTTTTCAAGCTGTGAGAATTTGGGCAAGTTATAAGCCTCCATTTCTTCATCTGTAAAATGGTACTAATAATACTTAATAGGATTGTTCGCAGGATTAAACAAGTTAATGAGTGTAAAGCTTTGGATGAGCAATCAATAAATATTAGCTTTGAATATTACTAAAATTATCAACCATCATTTTCTCTCTATTTAAGGTATCACCATTCAGGCCACCAAACCTGACACCCAGACTAAGTCATTTCCGGACTTCCCTTCTTGTTCCACTCGTGCCTATTCTAAACGCTTATCTCCTTCCTGAAGCCGAGATCCTTTCAGAAAGGAAAAGTGATCAGTTCCAACCTCCCTCCCACATAAGGGCAGAAAGAGTCAAATGTAAAATCCTCCAGCTGTCCTTCGCACAAACTTGAAAGACTCTGCTTGGCCACCTGGCCTGGCTCCATCTCACTCTCTCCCCCATTCTCTTTGTGCCTCAGCCATACTGCTCAGTCTTCTGTACAAGGCCCATGCTGTGCTCTCTCAGCCTGGAAGGCTGTCCTGGTCCCAGGCCCTTCACATTGCAGCCCCAAAGCTACCTCTTCAACATTTCATAGGTCATATGCCTACCCCCCCCCCCAAAGCTCTTAGTTTAATAAATACATGACCTGCTTATAGGGTAATCTGCTAATGTCTGCCTTGCCTACACCATTTTAAGTTTGGGGAGGGTATGGCTGCCAGTTTTGCTTGTCCTGTTCTCCATAACCTAGTTCAGCTCAGAACCCGAGGACAGTAAATATTACTTTAATCAATGAATGAACGCATTGCAGTGAGGAGTTAAAACGGYCTGGACTATAGTCTTGAAAAAGTTGGTTACTAAATGGTTCCCAAACATGCAGAGTCACTTTTCCGTGGATTTTCATTTCAAGCTCAGGCGCCACTTTCCCTGTGAGCGGAGACCGGGCCGGATCCGAGATAAGCGAGACCCGCCGGCAGGGCGGCGGGCGCGGGGCGGAAGTGCGGGGCGCTGGGGCCGGCGCGGGCGGAAGCGGCGACGCAGGCGGCGCGAGGTTGAGGTGGGTGTCTGCGCCCGGGAGCCGGCGGCGTGCGCTGGCGGAACTGCGGTTCGGACCCCGCGCGCCTGCCGCAGAGGGAGGCTCGTGAGCCGTTTGCTGTGCCGTACGCTGACAATTTCGATTGTCGTTAGAGGGAATTTAATTAAGCCGGGAGCTATAAGTCCATGAACCACCGAGAGAGATTACAAGCGTGCTTGTGTGTGTGTTGTGATGGCGCTCTGGGAAATGAATAAATGACGGCGGGGAAAAGGCAACTTTTTTAAGAGAAGGCAGAAAACAACTCAATGCTTCCAGTGATTCACAGATGCCCCAGTCCCGGGTTTAATTGAATTCTATGAAGTGGCAATATAATCACACTTGGCAGCCTGCTGAGATGACTGCCTTTAAATAAATATTTTTGAGCAGCCATATTGACCTTTAATTGGGGTGAAAAGGTTGAAAAGTGCAGGAAAGAACATTKCGAGAGCTAGGGCTCTCTGGATCAGCTGCCTGCACCCTTTCTCTGCTTTACTGGGCAGAAGCAGTCTTCTGGGCACGACACAATGAGAGAATAAATCAGCGACTGTACAATTCCCAGCAAATGTTTAGCCTTGTCAGTCACCCCTGACAAATATCAGCTCATACAATTTTTTAATAAGTCGAAGGGTAGAAAAGTCCCCACTAAATTGTTACTAACATGAATARGCATGTGATTGTTTCTAGGGCTGTCTTTAGCAAAGAATTTTCTGCCTGGGTGATCTTTATTCTGGTTTCTAAACAGATAGTGTTTACTTAGTACTTTATATTTTAATATGGCCAGCATGACCCCMAAATTCTCAGCTTCTCAAGAACATTTCCCAACAAAAAGCCAGGCTTCCCAAAACTACACACTTGGTTAACTAGTAACTCGAGCTGTGTGTCAGTGAGCAAACTGTAGTGGCTATAGAGGCCACAGTCTTCTCAGTTAGTAATAATCTGTGGAATAGCTTGTAAAATGCAATTGAAGTTCTCTACCAATATTCAGAACCATATACATTGAGATGCCTTATAGGTAAATAACAGATTTAAAACTTGGAGAAATAAGTGAACCCCGGCAACACTGAATGATTATTGTAACACTAGGACAAGGCAGAACTAATCATGGTTCTGTGTGAAATGTTATAGCCTAGTAACCTAGGTCCTGCTCTACTAAGGAATTGTGTGGAACCAGAAAGGCCCAGTTGTAAAAATTAAGATTTGTGAGGTTGGTGCTTTAGGCACATTCCAGATTTTCTTTCTTCCCAGCTTTCTGGTAATAGCCATTTGCCAAGAAAGGACCAATATTTTTGTTTTCTTACCAGAGGAATATATCATTATATAGTTTTATTTAGATGGACTATTAACCTGTAATATAAATGAGAATTTTCCAACTTTAAATTTATTGGATTATGTTTCTGTCTTGTTCCAGATGCCTGGCTATATTCATACTCTGAAGTACCTAGAGGCAGTGCCTTCAAAATAAGTTTGTTTTTTAATTAAAAATTTTGTATTTCATAACTTGTATATACTTGAGCTGGCTGATACATTCAGTCACTCTAATACTAGGGCTTGGGGTTTCAAACATAGCAAGACCTTGAAGTGCTCTAGTATATGTAGTAAGTTTTTTATTTTAAATCTAATTTTTGCCACTGCTTTATTCAGGGCATACATCGGAAGAAGCCAAAAGCCAGCTGGAATAGCCCCTGAATGCGATTTTAATCTTGTTTGCAATTATTTTGAAGGGGAGAAACCATCTGTGTCAGGTATGTTTAGCTACACAGGTAGCAAGGACTGCGTGAGTATCCACAATCATTCCCTTTTTATCACATAGCAAATTCTAAGGACAAACTCATTTGGAAAAGAATATGCAAAAAAAAAGTTGTAACTCAGTTTAGCATAGGTATATGATTCCATATCTCTAACTCACTATTCCAGTATAGACACAGGGGTGAAAACACTACTCTTTTTATTCCAATTCTTAATTAAGAATTAACTTATAAAGATGGAGGCAAAGTTCAAAGGATCTATGTTTCTAGAAAGTATCCATCTTCAAGAATTTCAGAACATTTCATTAGTATCTTATTCTTTCTTCTGTTGCTATAGCAAAATACCTTAAGCTGGATAATTTATAGAGTGAAAAGGTTTATCTGATTTATAATTCTCATATCCGGAAGATCCAAACACTATGTCAGTGTGGTCCTAGCAAGGGCCTTCAGCCAAGTCACAGCATGGTGGAGAAACAGAAAGGAAAATGGACATGTGCTAAAGGGGCAAAACGTGGGGTGACCTTGCTTTTATAATACCTGCTCTCAAAAGAACTAATTCACTCTAAGAGACCAACATTAATCCCTTTTGAGGGCAATCCTCAATCCCTATGGATTACCTTCCACTAGACAAAACCTCTTAAAGATTCAGCCACCTCAACACTGCCACACTGGGGACAAATCTTTCAGCACATGAATCTTTGAGGAGTATACTCAAATCATATCTAAACCATAGAAACCAGTAAAATCAAGTAACAGCCATTTTATTGCTATAGCCTTCATGACTGTGGTATTGTATTATCCATCTTTTCTCTGCCCAAGGTATGAGTTCTTTAAGGACAGGGACAATATTTTAATTGCTTATATTTGTAGTACCTGGCATAATGCGTGGCACATTGCAAACACTACATTGCTATAGAAATGAAAGGGCAGTGTCCCAGAAGGGAAGCTGAATCTATAAGGGGCATGAAAACATCACTAGGATGGTATAACAAGAATATGAAATAATAGTCTCCTTTTCARAGTTTACTGGATAAAAGTAATGCTTTGATTAACAGCTTGGAGCAGCGAAGGGCATATTTGAGAATCTACACATGGTTACCAGACTGCCTTCCAAGGATTTCTGCCTGGCCACTTGTGGAGCCTTTGTTGTGTTGAATGGCATATACAAACTGAAAGGCCTCACCAGCCCTGTCTCCACACTCCCTCCAGGCCTGCCATGCTCAACTCTTAACTAAAACACCTATTTGGCAAATGTGTGAAGTGTATCCATGAAGGTACACTAAATTACATACAGCACCAGTATTTTGCTTTGGCTCTGCATTAAGAGTAGAACACTGGATATTAGGGCTCTATCTGAAGTGTGAGGAGTAAAAATTTGTTCCCATGATGTAGGCTCCCTGTTTACCTCTCTTATTGTTTCTCTTGCTGAGAAA